CTATAAGCTTAAGGCTATCCAAGAATCGGCAATAACCAGATATGAAAACGTTTATTAGGAATCGAACAACCATGAACGTAATTTTTATTAATTGGTCTTTTGCCGGGCCAAAAATCTATACAACCGTGAATCATTAATGATTACAAAATCACTGGAAACATGTTCGTGAACAACAAATTTTTGGAAGGAATCCAAAGGAAATCCTTTTCAAACATCCCATGATTGATGATTCTGCAATGTTTTGAGAATTTTGTAACTGAAACAGCTCTATTTCTGTTTCTGGCTTTCCAAGGTGGATAAACTGTGTTTAGTGAAAAATCCTGAGAGCCCAATTCAACTATCAGTCAAATGCTCATTTGCTTCCCTCTCTTTATTTGGGGAGATTAGATAATTAAATGCAATGGCTGTATGCCTTTGTTAGTCATAAATTATATATAATCTACAACCATTCAATCCCTCACTTTGCATTTATAGCTGGTGTCAGACACTATCATTGATTTCACAACCTATTTTTTTTGGTTAACCTAAAGATTCAATTAAGATTAATTGGATATTCATGTAAGTAAAAGAATACATTGGACCACAGCCATTTAATTTATCACTGTAGACATCATATATTTTATCACTAGTGTGGGGCATTACCATAGAGTTTCAYAGCATTCAAGTTAATACTAATTCCCTTCCAAATGGGCGTTGAATGCCGTTATATAGGCGTTAYTTTAGCATTTTGGCCATCTACTGATGATTTTTTCAATTTATTCATCATTACTAATTTTGRTTATACAAACAAATCAAGTACAAACGTCTACTTAATAATCAAAAGCTATACCAAATACATATTTATTCAGAGCGTTTCAAGCAGCTGAACCACCTTAGCTGAATCTTTCAGCTCAGCTCAGTTCAGCCGTTTCAGTCTTACAAACTGTCTGAAATTCCTTTTTTTTCATAATCACATAACACATGGAAAACGGACGGGTTCCACTTCCACAAGAGATTAAAGTCGTTTTTGAAAACAAAAATTGTGGATTTTCGAAACCTGGAAACGTCTTTTCTTCCACTTGTAGCGGACGAAATAAGATCCAGGCCCGACTCCGGCATCGCCCCTCTCAACTCCGGCGTCCTTGCTTCTACTCCATACTAGGTGAAGCCTTCTTTCTCTCTCTCTCTCTCTTTCTCGTACCTTAACGAATCCCTGTATTACAAGCTTATTGAAAACTTAGAACGAATGGATCTTTCGCATGAATGCCTTGGCAGGGGTTTTCAAACTTTTTACAACTTCAATTTCGATTTTCAGGCACAATTTCCTCTGGGTTATCTCAAATTTCATTGTTCTTTGAGAACTGTTTTTTCCCCTAAAGTAAGTTTAATTGGTTTTGATTTAACTGTATCCTTCAGTTTTTTTTTTTTTTTAATTTTTTTCATCAATCCTGTTGCTTCTGTTACGATTCATCAACATTCTAACAATGTTGAGTTTGGAGATGTTATCGTAACCATCTCCCCCCTCCTTTCTTGGTCTTACCCTGAATGTTGAGTATTCTTTTTCCAGGGTTTCGATTCCTTTGAGATGATTGAGTTGTCCGGTTAAGCACGAATTGGTCACCGTCGAGGCTCTGAACTTATTTAATCTCAAGCCCTTGATTCTTTTTCTATGTTTTTGGCATTGGTTCTGTGTTTTCCCTTTTTCTTTGTCGGCCTCGAACGACTAGGTTCCGATCTTTTTCATTCGATTGTGGAATGCAGAACTAGCTAGTATAAAGATCGTGATCTCATCCATCAATAATATCCTTCCCTACTTAGGTATGGCTTTTCTTATTAAAATTTAATATAGCCAATTCTAACTTCAGACTTTCCTAACATTGAAGGTGCAAATTCTGGATGCTCTCTCTCTCTCTCTCTCTCTCTCTCTCTCTCTCTCTCTCTCTTCAGTTTGAACACTTTTGAATTTTAACTGTAGGATAGGTGACCCGAGCACTTTTTTGGTACATAAAGCTCATATCATCAAAGGAAACCCTCTTAGGATTTTTAGTTTGTTATTTCAAGTGCAAGCTGCTTACTGCTAAATTACTGCTTATATAATTTGATTACCATATCCCACAAATTTAAAACTAAAAAGAGCAATCTTTGGTTGTTTAATTTTTATTCTGTTATGAATAAAGTAAAGGAAGATCAAAAGACTATATGTTGATATTATGGTTGTCTCTGTAAAATTTGAGATGACGCTGGGACTTTTTCCTTCCACATTTATGAAGACAACATGTTTTAGACTTCCTGTTGAAGCATGGTTTCAACTTTCAAGAAATGGAGGGCTGAATATTAGATTATTTTGTAGATTATCAAATAGATCAAATATTGAAAACATTACAACCAGCCCTTGGAGAGGCACGGGATGTTACCTCTCCTAAGAAGTGAAATTTACATCAAAATAAAGAATATTAAATTTTTCCGAAACAGGGTTTATCTCTCATCTAACATTTTATTTACTTTAAGGAATTTAGTCACATTTCACACATCCAATACATTACTTTGCATTTTCAGCTCAATCCTTTGAAACGTCCATCAGTGTTTCAAAGGTGAAGGGTGGATATGGAGCATGGCTACATGTAGTTTACTTATTTTCTCATATCAAGTGGTTTGTCTTTGAATGGTGTATTGGTGGAACTATTGTTGATATTGCATGATATTAGCTCTCCTATTGGCTTTACTTAAAAAAGGTGTCATGAATTTTGTTTAGGTGAAGCTCATGTTTTTGTAGCACGGCCCCCTTTTACATCTCTTTCTTGGAACAGATGCAGTGAACTGTGGCCCTATAATTACTGAAGTATCTAAAAGTTATTTTTCTATAGTAAAGACTGCTGAGCGGAATTGCAGAAAAGGACCTGCATAGACATACTGTCAATAGAGTGGAGTTTCCGAGTGGGCCTATGAAAGTAAGTTATCAATAGCTGGAATTGATGCTTRGTTGAATTGACTTGATTTTACGTAGAGTTTTTCAGGTATTATGATATGGATGGAGATGCATGATAACAAGAATTTGTAGTATAACGATCAAACCAACAAAAAGAGTGGCTGTTATAACCAGAAAAATAATGGTGCTGTYCTGCACGCACTTCCAACTATTTATACATAARGGCAATCAGATTGCAAATTCCTAATAATTTTTAGAACTATGTTTTATTAGTTGTTCAATACTTTATAATTTTCCTCGTTAAGTGTATAATGTTATCACTAGAATCTTATTTTATTTGTTTGTTTCAATGATACTTAGTGGAAGAGGGTGGGCCTTGGCGCAACAGTTGGGTTGCTCCATTGTGACCTGGGTGACCAGGGTTCAAATCTTGGAAACAGCGTCTGTGTAACTGCAKGGGTAAGGCTGTGTACATTTGTCCCTCCCCAGACCCTGCATTGGTGGGAGCTTCATGCACTGGGCTTCCCTTTGAATGATATATGGTAGAACAAATGCTTGTATTAACTGGTCTTGTAGTTGCATCATCTGTTAGTATGATTTTCTTAATGTACCTGTTTTTTCCTTTCCCAAGTGGATGGAAAGGAGAGCAAGATGTTCATGTTTTATTAATAAATAAATGGGTTCTAAAGTGTGAATGGTAGCATGCGTTTTCTCTTTTTAGTATGTTTATTATTGTTATTTTTAAGTGGGAGCAAAGGCCAAATGTTTCATAGATGGCAAAATGGATATTAGTGTGCGATTGATTTTGTGTATTTTATCTTTTTAATATGTTTGTTGTTTACATGGATGCCATGAAGCTAAGTTGGTGGCAAGAGGGCCAGATGTTTTGTTAATGATTGAATGGATATTGGGATCTAATCTTGATCGTGTCCATGGTTTTTTTTTTTTATCTTTGTGTTGTGGTAGCTACATCTGGATTTGGTGGTGGATGTCATGTAGTCTTATAAAGCTTCGTCTTTGACCAGGATGGATTCCMAACCTATCCGGATTGATGATGAGAGTAAGCAAGCTGAGGTGGCAAACTGGACAGATGCTGAAGAAAAAAGCCTTATTGATCTTATGATACATCAAGTAAAGGCAAACAACAGACCCACTTCTACGTTTAACTATGAGGGGTGGAAGTATATTGTCGAGAACTTCAACAAAATCAACAACAGGAATTATCATAGAATGCAATTCAAAAACAAGTACAACCAGCTAAGGAAGAAGCATTCCGACTATTATGCTCTTGTGGGGCATCCAGGGGTGTCAATAGATCCTGTCACAAAGAAACCAATAGCAAATTCTGATGTCTGGGAGAACCTTTATGCAGTAAGGATTGTAATTGTCTTAGAAAATTTGAGATTCTTTTACCATTGTGAGTTGCTAACGTGATGAAAAATATAATTGCAGAAACATAAGTTTGCCAAACAAATTAGGAAGAAAGGATGCCCATTTTTGGAGGAATTAGACTTCATATTTTCAGGAACAAGTGCTAGCGGGAATTTGGCACATGGAAACAATGAGGAACCTTTGGATGATGAAGTAAAGCAAGTTCCAGAAACATCAGATCCTCGTGGTACCTCGACACAGAATATTACTATAAATGATGAAAATAAGCAAGTTGAATTGGCAATTTGGACWGATGCTGAAGTAAAAAGTTTTATTGATTTGATGGTGCATCAAGTAAAGGAAAATAACAAGCCCAGTTCTACTTTTAATGCTGATGGGTGGAGGTATATAGTGGAAAACTTCAACAAAGTCCACAAAAAGAGTTACAGTAGAGAGCAATTCAAAAATAAGTTCCACCAACTAAAGAAGAAGCATGCTAACTATTCCACCATTATAAGGCAACCGGGGGTGTCAATAGATCCTGTGACAAAGAAACTAATAGCAAATGAGATTGTCTGGGAAAACCTTTACATGGTAAGKRTTTTAACAATGTGAGAAATATTTACAATGCTTTTACCATTGTAAGATACTAACTGGATTTAAAATATAAATTGCAGAAGCACAGGTGGGCCAAAAAAATTAGGAAGAAGGGTTGTCCATATTTGGATGAGTTAAATTTTATATTCTCAGAAACAAGCATTGGTGGAAATTTGGCATACACAAACAATGAGGATCCCTCAAATGATGAAGCAAAACATGTTTTAGAAACACCAGATCCTTGGGGTACTTGGACACAGAATGCAACTGCAAATGAATCTGCTGCAGAGATCTCTCAGACAGACTTCATAGATGACACCACACAATCCAATGAGCACAACACCGAGAAGAGTGGCCTTCAACTATTAATGAAGAAGTGCAAGAAACCAAAACAGTCCTCTAAGATGATATTTGCCATGCAAGCATGGGCAGAGGCAAACAAGAACAAGTGTAAGTTGTATCAGCTGCAGTTGGCAGAACTGGAGGCTCGAAGAAAGATGCAAGCACAAGTTGAGAGGAGGGACACCTCTGCTACCAGATGCATGGAAGTAGTAAGTGAGATACATGCACAGCATGGACTTCAAATTCAACAAGTGAAGGCAGCAACTGAGTTGTTTGAAAAAGAACACTGGAGAGAGACATTCTTGGGCATGTCTAGAGACTTGCAAGTGGCATGGCTGCAGGACCTTTAGGGATAAGAAGTGGCTCTAAATTATTTGTAATTGTTGCCTTAGGAGTTAGGAAGACTATTGTTTTATGATACCTAGATGGTTTCAGATAGTGGTCTGTTTCTTTCTGTCTTTTGTTTATAATGATCAGTTTCCATTTGGCATATGCTCATCTATATTTTTCATTGTGTGTCTGATATTGGTAATAGAACCATAAAGGATGTTTTATGGTTAGACACAGGCGTCATTGCAACTTGTGATGGCAAAATCTGATACTAACTTTGGGCATTGCTTCTTTTGTTGAAAACTGATGCTAACAATGGGCGTTRGTTCTTTTATCCCAGTCTATGAAGATCACAAATACTGTTTTTAAGGTAGGTAAGTTTCTTGGTGATTGAAAGCAAGGCATTCAGGAGATAGACATCATTCTCTTCAACAAGATCTAGTTGAGAAACAAGTTCATCCATGCAATAGCCRAACAACAAACATTATACTCCTTGTATGTTGTAGATGCAATATGCTGTGTATTATGCTATGTTTATTACTCACCTTTGTGTTATCTTTTATTGAGATCGTTGCATAGGGATCATTAACTATTTGTGTTCAGATAATCTATGTAGCTAGCTCATTTATCAGTATTAGAATTATTGTCTACTAAGAAACAGAACTGTATTCACCTACATGCTGGTTACCCTTGAATATTAGAGCAATGAGATGCCCATCTGAATCATGATTATGTTCCCATGTTAGAAGCTTATTGTATTGGGTAAAGTCAATTGAGCATCATTTGTCATGTATGGACTTCTTATTAATCATTTCACCTATTTTCTTGCTTAAGGTTCAAGTTTGGGTTCTTAAGCAGCCAGTGTTGTACTTTTGGTTCTGCATTTTTTACACTTTCGRCCAAAAAATGTAGTTAATTACATGTAGCAATTGCAGATTGATGACAATACAAGTTAACCACATGTGGCAGGCGTGCTTTTTCAACTCCCTGAGCATTGGATGGAAAACAAGCCGATAACGATGATGTTGACATCATTGCCAGAGAAGACACGGTGGAGAACCAACAGAACCCCAATGAAACCTAGATCATCAAAGACCAAGACAAATCGATCTCTAGCATGATTCATCAACAACAAAGCATGGTCACCAGACCTCAAGAGCTCCATCTCTCCAAACCCACTGTGCTTTAAACTCTTCATCTCATAAGATCCTGGTCAAAGCCTTCCGATTCTTCAAATGGGCCCAAGACAATGAATGAATGGCTTAACCCACAATGACCAGACCTACTTCGAGATGCTCGACATTTTCTGTTTGAAATCTCAATGCTGCTTAGAATCTCCTATTCTCCATGGAGAAGAAATCTAGAGGAACCTTCAAGCTTCAAGATTGATTCTTCAACAGCCTGATCAGGAGCTACGGCCAGGTGGAACTGATGAAAGGATTTATCATGGTATACAATTGTTAGGGGTTTTCCCCTCCAAGGGAGGATGACCATGACAAAAAAACTGTATGATGCTAACGAGGGCTGGTGTTTCAGTTGTGTATACATTTAACATTCTCAGAAGGGGTTTCTATCTGAAATCAATGTTTGATGATGGGTTTCGTTTTTCAAAGAATGTCCCGTTTTGGTTGTAACCTAGATGTTGTTACGTATTATACACTTGTGCACGGCGTGTGTAGGGCTGGAAACGTGARAATTGGTCACAATCTATTAAAAGGTCTGCACATGAAAAATTCTGATTTGAATCCTGATATTGTCACTGACACGACCTTGATCAGAGGATACTTTGAAAAGCGGGAGATTGCTCAGGCATTGAACGTTTCCAAGGAGATGCTTGGTTGCAGGATGAAGCCTAATAGAAGTACTTATGATACCCTTATTCAAGGACTCTATGAGGCAATATAATAAAGGAGASTTTGGAAGGAGTGGTGGGGGGTGCAGAATTTATACTAGATATGTACCTTTAAGTCTTTAACAGTCACTGAACAGTTTCATCTTCAAGTTTGCAAATCAGACACAGGTGAGAATTTGAAACCTCTACTAGCTAGTATCGCTCCCATTGGAATAGCATTATGTGATGCCCTCCATAAGAGTTCTGTAATTCTGGGTAATAACAATTTGCTTCCAAATCCGCTGACCTGTGATAATCTTTGGTGCATCTGTTATAAAAGATGATAGTTCCACCTTTAGGGACATTAGAAGTGAATATGTTGACCTGCAAGTAARAGTACTTATGTTAAGTTTCCAGATTAGTTTGTCATTGACTTGAACCGAATTCAATGGAAGATGGATGCAAAGTATGGCAGCATAAGATTAAACCGATAAGGATTAGTTTTCAAGGCGCCAAGGCAAGGTTAGGCGACCATGAGGCGCACAGGGGCTTAGGCAAGGCCTAGGGGATGAAATAAAAAAAAAAGGAAGTCTACATGTTTCTACCCCTAACGAACTAGTTTTTTATAAAACCTACAAACCTCTAAGGTCTAAGCTAACTTTTGTGCTTGTGATTCTTGTAGTCTTACAAAGTATGCAAAACAGAACATTAGAAATAGAAATTGGAATTTAGAAGAAAAACTGAAGGGGGTATATAGCCCCTATTTTAGACCAAGAAAAGAAAACGAACTTAAGAAGAAAACAGGGAGGCAAGAGTTTTTTTAGACCCAAAAAAAAAAAGAAAAAGAACAAGGGGCTCCATTGCTATTTTAGACCAAGAAAAGTTGGCTAAAATAAAAGATGAAAATGAAAAGGGGGCGGAGCCCTTGTTTCAAACCACCTACGAAGAGTAAGAAATGATGAAAAAACTTAAGGAAATGAAAGAAGAAAAATAATGGGGGCAGAACCCCTGTTCTAGATCACCTTCAAGGAGGAAAAAAGAAAATTTTGCAGGTAAATGAATAAGAAAAAAAAAAAGGATAGTCCTTTCAGAYCACTTTTCAAGATGCAAAAGGGTGAAAAGATTACAGGAAAATGAAGAAGCAAAKAAGAGGGTAGTTGGTGAAGCCCCTGTTTTATTCCAAAAAAATCATTAAAAAATGTAAACCCTAAAAAGATTGAAAGGTTTTCTAGTATCTTCTAATTCTAATAAAAAGGGCGATAATATGTGATAAGTTCTATTGTGACAATGAAAACAAACCAATAAAAATCATTTGCAGAAAAAGAATCAATATAAAAAAAATATTAAATGATGAAATGTATTAATGTGTTTTGCATCTAAGGCTTGCCTAGACATCTTAACTCACAGGGTCTGTACCTTATACAAATTTTATATGACGTTTGGGTGAGGCAATGTTTGAAAATCACCTAGTAGCTTAGGTGTCACCTTGACAATTATGGATACCAACACTCCCATGCTACTCCAACTAGTTCATCCAAAGTGGATAACATCTATCCATTCGTTTACAATTGTATATTTACAACTGTATTATTTAGTTTGGGAAGAGTACAAAATATAAATATGACAAGGTTTTGCACTCTATATATTTGCATGGTTTTCGAACCGTTAATGATTTGGACGATCAGACCGTTTGCCTCAGGAACTGTCCAGGCAACCAGTTCCATTTTATCCCAAATTCGGTCCCTGGCCAAAAATCATTAAATCAGTCAATGATCCATCGATTCAGGCGGTCAAAACCATCGACCTATTCAATGGTTTTGACCATTTTTTTATTTTTAATTATTATTTTTATTATTTTTAAATTTTTCTATCAAAACAGGCTATTCATTCGAATCAGACGATCGAACCGCCAACCTAGAAATCAGTGGCTAGAACGGTTCCATTACCGGGTTGTTTTTTAAAACCATGCATATTTATACATATTTGTATTTATACTCAGTTTGAAAGGAGTATAAATACAAATATACAGAGTGCAAAATCTTATATTTTGTATGTATTTGCACTCTACATATTTGCAATTGTACTTTCCTATGATGTACATCCTATCATTAAATGTATGGACAATACATACGATGAATATAAATAGTGCAACAACTCAAGCCATTCGATTGAGCAAAGCTTTCCTTTTCCCCATGTCTGAAACCTTTTAAGGATCTAATTAAACCAACATTCCAAGATTTGTTCTCACCATTAACAAGTGTGGAAAACATGATCTCCAAGTTGAAGCTCGTTAAGGAATTGCCAAAATAAGGGCTGTGTTGACCAAGTAATATCCTTGAAACCCATTCCACTCGTAGTTTTTGGATTTGCAAAAAGTTTAACGAAGCTGATGAAGGGTGATTCGGCACGACCTAGTAAGAAGAGGTCACGTGCACGCGATCTGTTTGAGGGGTGACAAATCAGCCAAAGGAACCCAGTCCACAACAATTAGAGCTCGGGTATTCAATCACTTCGGCCCAAAACCACCTCGGTGTAAAGGCACCTCGACACCCAATCCAGTTCGGGGCTAAAGAACCGAAGTACTAATTCGGAGCTAAAGAGCCGAAGTGCCACATAATCGACTCCAGAAGCCTCCCCAATGGACCCCGAATTTCTTAGGATCACAACGGGACTCATCTTCACTCCGCCCGAATCGGAGGAAAATGATAAACCTTATCAACTGACACATTACTCTCTTTCAAAAATAGAACAGATCTTATCTATGCAGCCCGGAGATCCCGAAGCTTTTTCATAAGATTCACGACTACTCCACTATATAAGGACATCAAACCCCAAGGCAAAGGTACGCATGATTATTTACTCACTAGCACTAAAGCATTCAAGTATTCAGCTCGCATCCATAATATAGTACTGACTTAAGCATTGGAGCGACCTCGCCGGGTTAGCCACCCCGAGTTCTCTAATCTATTATCTTGTAGCTTGGTCCAACTCTCCACGCAACTGGTGTTCGGATCATCTTCCAGCTAGGAGTATCCAGATCGCGCACCATCAATTGGCACCGTCTGTGGGAACCAATCAAAAGGTCATCCCAATTTCAGTTGCAGTTCTAGCTTTCGATTTATCTCAATGGATTCTTCCAGCAACACCGGGAAAAACATTGAGATGAACGTCACCGAGGGGCAAGATCAGCAATCAACCTTCCCCCAAGGTCCCACGGTATGCATCGACCAGTTTACTATTCCCCTTACAGCTTTAGGGGTTCGGTCACTATCCGTACCGCAGGGCACTACGCAAGTGAGCGTCCCACTTCCCCTAGTGGGAGTAACTTTCTCTGAGCCATATGTGGTCCCCCCTGGAATTGAGCACTCCCAATTTCATGACCTCGTTCAGTGCGTCCGGACAATACAGATCTAGATGCAGTAGGTCCAATAGTTCCAACAGTATCAACAATACTACATGTACCAGCAGTATCAGCAGCAGTTCCCACCATTGTAGCCGAACCAGCAGCTAATTCCACCCCGGCACCCAAGGTTACACCAGGGCCAGAACCAGAATCGGCCTGGAACTAGCCAGAATGCCCACCGATCCCCCCATCGGGATGAGGGGACCTCACAGGTGTTGGTTCCTCCTAGGGGTCAGGTTGGGAGGAGAGACGGTCAGCACACTCCCCCAGTCTCACAAGGAAATTTTAGAAATAGGCCCGAGGATAGTCAGCTCAATAGGGCCAATCTGGCGTGGCACTCCCAGCAGGAAAACAATGGATCGCGAGGAGATAACAACTAGCCCGGAGTTCGAGGTGTGAACTCGAGGCAGGACCGTCGGTGCCTCGTGATAGCCGGTGCGAACTCCACAACCAGGAGAACCCGACAAGAAGGAACTAGGATCCACCTCGCGACAATGTCCGTAATGATGTCGAGATACCAGATCAGACCGAAGTCAGCAGCATCAACGGTGAGCCGGTGAAGAAGCAGCAATGACGACGCCGCAAGACACGTCGCTCCTCGGCCAAAAATAGTCCGCCAGCGAAGCCAAGACAACAAGCAGAGCGAGCTAAAGAAAAGGAAGAAGTGAGATCGGTGGCAACGAAGACTACACCTCCATTGCTTTGTCGGTCATCTCCTCTGTCTCCTGAGCTCCTAGCAACCCCGATGCTGAAAGACTTCAAGGTACCCCCGTTAGATAAGTATGACGGGTCGTTTGACCCCAATGATCATGTGGATTATTTCTAGTCTCAGATACACCTAGTTGGGGCTGACGAATCCTATATGTGTGTGGCCTTCTCCACTATGTTTAGGGGGGTAGTCCGAACTTGGTATCGAAACTTCGCACCGGGCTCCATCAAAAGCTGGTCACAATTTGTCGATCTGTTTATTGCGCATTTCGTTACCAGCAAGAAATGCCCAAAGTCGCAAGAAA